GGAAAGACATTCAACCTCATTCGTCATATACTCATAACAGAGCGTTTAGGAAACGACTCTTACTATGACCAAATCATTATATCAGCAACTTCAGACTCTATGGACTCAACAGCGAAAACATTTATGTCAAAAGTTCAAGCCTCTGTCGTTAAAGTTCCAGACAGTGAACTCATTGAATTTCTTCAACGTTACATTCGACGTAAGAGGAAATATTATGCCATCGTTGAATTTATACAGTCAGGAATGCAAAAGACTTCAGAAGAGATGGAAAGAATTATTGACAAACACCACTTACGTCAATACTCAGGAGTTTACGATATGAAACGACTGACAAACTACATTCTATCAAAACTTTCAAAATACCCCTTCAAAAAATATCCATCAAACACTTTATTAGTTTGTGATGATTTCGCTGGTAAAGGCTTAGTGTCAAAACCAGACTCACCATTAGCTAACATCATTACTAAAGTCAGACATTACCACTTAACTGTAGCAATACTTATGCAAACATGGAGGTTTTTAGCTTTAAACATAAAACGTCTCATAACTGACTTCGTTATCTTTCAAGGTTTCTCACGCTATGATATTGAACTCATTTGGAAACAGTCAGGTATAACATTACCTTTTGAAGAAATTTGGGAAGCATATAAGTCTCTCATCTCTCCTCGTTCATACCTTGAGATTCATATCATGACTAATACCATTAAAGTCAAAAATATTCCATGGGAACGACCAACATTGTTTTAAAGTTTAACCTTCAATTGACTGATGGTAAACAAATTCCATGCATCTCTGTCGCCATTTCTGTTAATATTTTTGCTGTCATTCATATCATCCACTTCCCCATCCGTTAGCTTTTGAGGATATGCGTTAGAATAGCTGTTCTTAAATGAAGGCTTTTCACCTTTGAGAGCATAAACTCTATAACTTTCTGCATACTTTATGTTTGAACCTCCTGAGCCATCATTGACATAAATTTTTATAGGCTTCCACCCTTTGTTCATGTTCCTGCTTCTTCCATTAGCTCTTTTGTTCAGTAGTTCTACATCTTTATACACAGCACCTGTCTCAGTGAATTCAACAATATTTTCATTCGTTAGCTTTACATTCAAACCCTTGTCGAGTATTGTTCATTTCATACATATAAAAGGTTTTTATTCTATATGAAATGAGAAGCAAATCCATCTTAGCTGGTGCCGTTAATGTTCCAATTGAACCAACATCAAATGTTGACTCACAAACGACAAACAATATTGTCATAAAGAACTATAGTTCAGAGTGTTTGAAAGAAAAAGAACCAGAGCTGAAATCCGTGAATTTAAACTCAGCTTCAAACGCTAACGCTACATCAGATGTTAAGTTAGAGTATCCACCACTGGACCAAATTCTTTCAAGAGAAGCCAACGACAATCCTTACACAAATGTTCAAACAAATCCTTCAGATAACGTAGACCATTACCTTCTTCAGTTATACCAAACAATTTTACTCAAAGACGATAAGAAGCTTTTGACAAATCTTATAAGCAAGAACCAAATAATTCTAACAAAGGAGGACCTTGAAAATGTTATATCACGAATAACAGGGAAACAATGTGTCATTGACTATCTCGACCCTGAAATCGAATGCTGTGGTCAAACTCCACTATTCATGAAATAGGTAACATCCGCATCATTGAAACACCAGGAACTACAGGAGTTGAGTTTAAGTATAAATATTCGAATGAATATACAAAACTTTCAACAGAATATAAGCTTTGTTTGAAATATGTTTTAGTAAATTAAAGCAGTCAGTCAAAAAATTTCAAGTTAGCAATTTGTAATATCTATCCAAAACTTCTTCAACAGTATCGAACTCATCTTCATAATGCAAACCTAATCTTATTGACTTGGTGCAGTTTTCACTAACACAATATTTTTCTGTTCTCTTGACTGACATAACTAACTCATTTGTTTCATCAAACAGCAACAACCAAAGTTCATGACCTAATACATAACATTCATACTTTATATTTTTAGCTCTGAGTTCTCTTGTAAGCTGTTGCATTTAATATTTTCTAAAAAGTCAACTTCAACAGTCATTCGCACTGGTGCCTTCAGTTCTACAGGCTCGCCTTGAAAGTCAACAAGTCTGAATTGCATGTCTTTCAAATTATGAGGACTAATGCGAACCCATTTACCTAAATGAGTTGCTATGACAGGAACGTTTGGAATGAACATTGAATTGACTGCATAACAGAAGGATTTATATTCTACTGAACCTTTACTATTAACTCCTGAAATGCCTGTGACATTAGCTATTTTAGACTCAATGTATAAACAATTACCATAACATACGTATGGAACAGATTTCATCTCAATCGTTTTGTCAACACTTTTCAAAGGAAATGTCATATGGTATGTGCCCAAAAGAAGTTGTACTCTATGACTCATTCTTGGTATCTTAAACTCCTTCGCATAACTGAACTTCAAAACTCCTGCAATAAGTTTAACATTCATTAAGTTTTCTTCGTTATCCTTGTTTATTGTAGTATTTATGAGAGCATTTAACACTCCAGCTAATGTTTCCATCTTATATTCTACATTATTGTGAAATCTTATTTCGTGCTTCTTTCCATCTATTTCAATCTCCATGAAATCTGTTTCATCTGTTATAACGAATGAAGCGATAGTATTGAAGTCAACCATTCTGAATGCAAGCGCCTCATTCTGTAGACCTAAGTTTGTTTGTAGCTTTACTGTCCCGTATTCGTTTGGGTCTGTACTTTGCAAATAGAACAACATTTTATTCTCATTAAAATATGAGTATAGCTGCATATGCGTATGAAGCTGACAGAGCTAAACGTTTATATTTTGGTCAATACTCTCTCACACTTACTGACAAATATATTGTTATCACTGATGGAAATACTGAGAAATACATAACATGGAAGGACTATGAAAAGTTTGACCCTATTTTAACTCCATGTACTATGCCGTTTATAAAGGACGGTGAAATTATTGAAAAAGATAACACAACCGTATATAGGTCTGTTTATGAAGCATTAGAATATATGTTGAATCATAACCCAAAGATTTGACCAAGCACTACACCATGTGCAATGCCTTTATTAAGGACGTGAAATCGTAAGAGTTCCGGATTCAACGGTTTACACAGCTGTTCAAAACAGTTTACAAAACATTTTAGCGAATATCTTTAATTCAGAAACTACAGAAATAAAATTACCGTATATAACAGATGCTAAAGAAATTAAATCAAAAACGACAACATTATTTACGTCACTTAATGATTTAATGACTTATATCATTAATATTCCTGCACCAACTACAGCATTTGATCCAAACTCGACGGTTTGCAGTGTACCTTTCATAAATGACAGTTCATTAATTGCTTTAAGGGATTCAACAGTAAATGAATCATTAAAGGCGTCATTAATGAAAATCATTGATTTTAATTCATTCACGAATACATATAATTCATTCATTAATGTTTCATATGCTTCTAAAGAAGGTGAGCCAAAAACTATCGATAAAGCGGTGTATGAAATAAAAGCATCAACGACGAAATTGAATTCGTTAACTTTTGACGGTGATAGTTTCGTTAATGACATAACATCGGGGAAAACAATTTTAACGAAAGAATACTTAAAATCTCATGTTAGTGAGTTCGTTGAAATTGAAAAAGAAGGTGGAATTAAGTTCGATCCACTGAATTTCATTTTCAGCTTAGCGAATGCGGGTGTTAGTTTCGCTGAATGGACAACTATACAGAGTGAAATAAATGCAATATGGACGTTTTTGGGGTCAAAAGCGGGAATGGGTGAGCTTGTAAATGCTGCAAGAACATTAGGTGAAACAGGAAATTTTGTAGATGGTTTTAAAAGACTTGTTTCAAATGTTTTAACAAGCACAAAGAAATTATTTAAATATACCGTACATAACGGACGGATTTTCGAACAGATAGCAACAAACCCTCCGGTTATGGCTGCGTTGATGATGGTTAGAGATATAAAACCACGTAACGACGGGAACGAAGAACATGAACAACAGGATACTGGTCGGGTTATTCGAGACATTAAAAACGTGTATCCTGAAGTTATTGATTTATTTAGAGGAGTTAATGATTCAATTTCAAAACATTCTATAACCATCGATGAAGAGAATAAATTAACAGATTATATATTCGTCATTATTGCAGAATTAATGAAGAGAATAAATGAAAAAGGAATTGGTGATATCATTAATGTCAGCGATGTAATGATGAAAAGAAATTTTGACTCATTATTTACAAAACCGAAAACAGAATATAGTCTTTATGACGTAATTACCGAATTAATGAAAAAGATTAATGATAATAAGAGTTCTGGCGGAAGAGTTGAATTAGAAGTGAATGATGTTAATGAGAAATTAGCCGAAAAAGCAGACAAAAATGAGCTTTTAGCTCTGAGTGATAAAGTCAAGAACCACGTTCATTATATAACTTCAGACGAACAGATTATAACGGACTACCATGGATATTTAACACGAAGTGATGAAGCGAAGACAAAAAATGTTAATGAAAGAAGATATAAATACATTCGTGCTAAAGGTTATGACATAAGCTGTACTGTACAGTATGATGTAGCTAAAGCACCAGAAGCATTTGGTTATACCGTGAAATTTATGCCTCTACTTTCAATGTTAACGGTGTATTAGTTGAACCAAGATTTACATTGAGAGTTAAGGCAAAAATAACGTTTGAAGATGCTATTAAAAGTAAAGCTGACAAAGTTGAACTTGACGCAATGAACAAAGTTTTGAAATCTCATAAACACAACATCTCCGATATAAATGAACTTCAAGCTACATTAAATAGTAAAGCTGACAAGAACCATACACATGAATCCTTCACTACTGTTAGAGCAGACGACATAATATTGAACTATACCCTTGGTTCAAGTGCACCTTTAGAGAATCCAAGTACAAGCGTAAAAGATACACTAAACTCCTTAAATAGTAAATGTATGAACATTGAAGGTCATGCCAGAAACTTTGAAACACATGAACTACCAGCAATGTTAGATAAGAAAGCAGACAAAGAACATACACATAACTTCTTCTCAACTGTTGCTATAGAAAGTATTGAAGGAACGGTTGACGGAACTGATGGGGATGCATTATATTGTAAACCTCCTAACTTTCCACAAGGTTTAACATCGAATGAAAACATAACAACGAAGAAAAAAATTAGCTGTAAAAATGTTTATGTCATGGGTGATGAAAATAATGTTAAATTCACTGCTCAAGATTTATATGATAAGAAAGCAGATAAAACAGAGCTTCAAACAATGAAGACTCAGATTCTTGAAACCATATATCCTATAGGCTCTATTTATACGTCAATGAACTCAACAAATCCAGCAAGTGTTTTAGGTTTTGGTACATGGCAGCAGATTGTAGACAAATTCTTATACTGTGCTAACTCTTCAAAGCAAACAGGAGGTTCGAAGAAAATTAAAGAAGCAAACCTTCCACCGCACACTCATACAGGAACTACAAACACAACAGGTAATCATTCACATTCAATAACAAAAAGAGGTTATACAAATCTTGCAGCAGGTTCGGATAGACAGGGAATGCATAGATATGATATTTCAAGTGACCCAGTAGATTCAAGCGCAGGTATTTTCTGTGGAACCGCAGGAAATCATTCACACACTTTCACAACAAATCCAACAGGCTCGGGTGCAGATTATATGCCACCATTTATGACGGTTTATGCATGGTATAGAGTTCATTGAACGCGCTTGAGCCTAGAATAAAATCTTTAACTTTACATAAATGAGCTTGAAAGAAGTATTCGAACAACATCCATAGAGGTCATTTAAGAAGTTCAATGAAGCTGCAAAGAGTTGGGGATTTACTAACAGAACTGAAGTGAAAAGGTTCTTTGACAAAAATGTTGTACATCAAACAAAAATAAACCCTTACGACTACTTTTTACCAATTTACTCCAACACTCCTGACGCATACCAATTTGACACTCTCATTCAAAGCAGAAAAGGAGGACATAAACCATTCCTCATCTTCATTAATGTTAACACTCGTAAAGCATATGCATATCCAATGAGGAATAAAGGAACTCGTGAAGTGTTAAGAGTTTTACAAAAGTTTGTAGCAGAACATAGCCCAAGTACTTTAACATCAGACCAAGACAGTGCATACCTCAGCAATGAAATCACAGATTTTCTCATTAAGCATAACATAACTCACTACACTACCGAAGACCATAACCATAACATACTCGGCATCATAAACCGCTTCATAAGAACGCTCAGAGATTTAAACCAAGAGCGAGACTTTACCGAAGAAACAATGAAACATTTCATCGAAGTATATAATTCCTCAACACATTCTACAACAGGACATACACCAAATTCAATGACACAACAACAAGAAGAAAAGTATATACAAAAGAAACGAAGTCAAACACAAAATATCAGAAATTCAACACAATTTACCCTCATTCCTGGTACAAAAGTTCGTGTAGTTCTTGACGACAAACCGTTGACAAAGAAACGTTTAAGGTTAAGTAGAAACTATTATATCGTAGACTCTACGCAAGGTAATGGATATCTTATAAAAGCTGCTGACGACTCTATTGCGTTTTATCCTCGACATAAATTAGTCGAAAGTAGTAATGGCAAACTTGCTGAAACCATTGACGAAGCAAAGCGAGGAGTGGTTATTGAAATACTTGGCTATAACATAAACGATGACACTTATAAAGTAAGATATGAAGGAGGTGTTGAAGATGTTATACCATCTAAGAACTTGAGAGAGTCAAAGCCAACACATCTGGGACCATTAGAGCGGGAGTACTGGAAAGACAAAAATAAGCCAGAAAGAATAAGAAAATTCTTCTAAACTTTTTCATTAGATGTAAATCAGACATGAATGAGAACAGTCATGTATTATTAATGGTACCATTTATTTTAACATAAATTTACACCAAAAATATATTTTAGGTGAAGAGGTGAGATCTCACCTTTTTTTTCACCTAATTTTTCACCCTCACCGCTTAGCGGCTCAGATTGCTTTAGCTTTCGCGTGAATTTTCATGAATTTCCTTAAGATAGAAAAATAAAGTTAGTTTTATTTTTATTTATTTTTTTATTTTGTATAAAAGATATGATTTCAACAATCGGCACAACAACAATTCAAACAACTACAGCACCAAACTCGCTAGTCATGAATCCTACGTCAATGTTGGTAGAGATGAAAAGCTTTATTCCTTCTTCATATACTTTTGAAACAGAAATCCAGAAGATAAAGCAAGAACTTTTAACAAGTAATTTAGACTGTAGTGCGAAAGATGAAACAAATGAACAGTATCTTTATGAAATGCAGGACATTATTGACCATTTACCCAAATTGCCTGAAATCCAACAGCAAAAACTAACTATTCCTGAATTCGACGAAATAGAAGTGAAACCAACTGACTCAGTAGAAATAAAGAAATTCATACGTAAAGTAAATTATGAGTTTCTAGGATATCATTGCAACCATAAAGTTATGGACAAAGATTGCGACATGGTTTATAAAAATATTTCTGACATATATAAATCGGTGGAGTTTAAGACATACGATAACTTTGTTTCATTAGTTGCAAAATGTGTTTGGGAAATAAGAGATAAAGATAGAAGAGGTAAGGTATGGCATGAACAGTTAAAACCAGCAGCTTTTGAGTTAAAGAAAACCATTGACGCCTTAGTTGTTCTAGCTGGTTTTATTTCAATGTATAACGCAAAAATGAATCCGCAATGTTCAAAATGTAAAGCAGCAATAAGAAAATATAACTACTCAGTCAAAGAGATAGAAAAAATGCGAAACGACTATGCAGACTTAAAGAAAGAAGCAAAAGATAAAATGGATATGTTGACATTTCTGAACAAAAACTATCCAACTGCAGAAGATTTCCTTCTGTCTGACGTCAAGAAGAAATATAAAGAGACTTTCGGCATGATTAAAACATTCGATGTACTAAAAGAAGAAATTGAAGCTACGAAATTGTTTAGGATTTCAAATATACATCGTACAATTCATGTAAAACGCTTGTGAAAAAAGAGGTGAAAAAAGAGGTGAAAAATTAGGTGAAAAAAAGGTGAGATCTCACCTCTTCACCTAAAAATTATTTTTATTGAATTCAGCACAAAAATAATGAATTTCATTAGTTAGAAAAATAACGCTAATTTTATTTTTATTTATTTTTTTATTTTGTATGTAAAGACAGTAATGACAAACATTGAGTTTGAAACAGTTAGAAAGATAGACAATGACACCAAAGTGGTTAGAATAGGTGATTTAAACGTAAGATACTCAAAGAAATACAACAAATATTCTTTGTCAGACATTATATCTCCATCTGGAAAGAAAACAAACGACTGGGTTAGAAATGCTTCAACTCAGAAAATTTTGACAAGAAATCCTGAGCTTATGATATCAGTAGCATTTCATGGAACAAGAGCATATCTTATAGACAAAAGTCTTATACCAATAGTTTTGTTATGGTTGGACCCAGTTGTTGGATATAACTTCATAACATATGGTTCATTCGATACGGAACGTTGCAGTGAAGGCTTACTTTACATCGTTCAGAAACCGAAGGACTTCAACACAAAAAGATATAAGATAGGAAGGATATATAATATAACTCAAAGATATGACAGTACAGTCAATAGAGTCAAGGTTGTGTTTGTTAATGATATGAGAGCTGCTGAAACAGAACTACTTGAAAAGTTTGAGAAAATGTATGGTGCTCCCATAAAAGGTAAAGAAACGTTTGAAGTAGATGAGATAGATAAAGCTATAAAATTATTTGACGAAGTTGCTGAAAAATACATGTAAAGCGTTTATTTTTGGTCTTTTGTGAAAGTCAGAAAATAAAGTTAGTTTTATTTTTATTTATTTTTTTTTATTTTGTATGTAAAGACAGTAATGACAACATCAGAGAACACAACAACAGTTATAGTCCATGAAGCCATTAATGAAGAATACGAGTACATACAGTATAACAAACAGTTACGTCTCATTCGTTCAGTCAAAGATGACATGTACCAAATGCAAAGTATAATGAATGCTCTTCGTTCTACAAAGCAAGCATATCATTGGTTTGAAAACCAACAGACAAAAGAACTTTTAGAAGAATTTCCTCATATGATTGCTTCCCTCGGAAAACCGAGAGAAGAGATTCCGTATGAAAATCGCAAGAATTTGGCTCCTGGTTTGAAAGGTTATTATGTTCATAGACTTTTAGTAAACGCCGTAGCAATGTGGGCTTCACCTCGTTATGCTTGTTATATTTTCATGATGTTAGATGAACTATATAAAGCAGAACGTGGAGAGATGGAAAAGAAACTTCAAGCAAAAGATGAAGTCATTGAATCCAAAGACAAAAGCATACAGAAAAGAATACCGCGTTCAGTACCAAAAGGAAAGGAAAAGAGTTATAAGTATATGATATATACTGAAGAGTTGGAGAAAGAAGAAGATAGAGATATGGTTATGTTGCATTTAGTCAGAAGAAACAACAAAAGCTTTTATGACCTTGCTAAGATTTGCAAATCTGACAGAAACTGGTTCTATCGTGAAAACTTACCGATTTCAATGACACCGAATGAGCAAATAAAGGAAATTGTCAAAATACTCTTCCTCAAACACACTATGACATCAAAGGTTGCACAATACTTACATTCAAAGAAGACTTAACATTACTGAAGGAAAAAATAACAGAATATTTCGATAACTTCAAAGAGGAAGAATAAAGTCACGACAACATTAACGAAGAAGTCACGACAACATTAACGAAGAGAGAATGAGGTGAAAAAAGAGGTGAAAAAACGGGTGAGATCTCACCTCTTCACCAAAAATATATTTTTGCTTAAATGACGTCAGGGTCAATTTCTTCAACCATTTCACTTCCTTCGTCAATGTCAATAGAAGCTTCTTCAACCTTTGGTAGGAGCTTCTGTATAACATCTTTGTTCGTTATTGTCTTCAGAGATGAAGGATAATATTTCACATTTGTTTCACCTTTTTATATTCTTTCTGCTGCGATAAATCTAAAACAATACTGAAGAAGTCAATATTAGAGTTCTTTATAACAGTATAATGAGTATCTTTGACATTCACGAAGAAACTATTTTGTTTCAAAACTACTGCTAACTCTTGTGAAGTATAACGTTTGCGGTCAATGACGATAGCTAATGGTCTGACATACTGACCAAACTTAGATTCTTTCACAAACTTCTTGTTAAAGATAACATTAACATTTGAAGCATTATTGAACTCATTCTTGATGGCAGTAGCGAGAGCATTGTATGAAAGAACTTGCAATCTTGCATGTGTTTCATTAAAATAAAAATATTAAATTATTTTGAAAAATAACTTAAAAAATCTAATCTAATTTTTTCAAAAAATATTTTTTTATTTCCTACTAAAGATGTATCGGAAGTTGTCTAAGTTAGAACACTCGGAAATAAAACAACTTCTTACAGAAGCTAATATAGATGTTGCAAAGCATTACGCAACAAACAAAAAGGCACTCGCTGACATCCTCAATGACTATAATGGTGCAATAAGTTATGATAGAATTCATGAGTTCATAAAGCCGCAACGCGGCGAGGACGAAGTCCATGCAATAGCATTTCCTTTAAATGACGTTGCTATTGACTTATATCATAGACGTTCAGTACCTGAAGTAAGAAGAGAAATGTTTGACATAACAAATGCAAACGTTGGTGAAACAAGAAGAAGAGACGACACACTGAAACAACAGAGAAGAGAGATGTTTAAAAGTGCTATAGAACAAGTTCGCAAAGCTAACGATGTCATTCGTTCCATTGACGACAAACCAAAAGAAGGTGAGAGATGGTTAAAGAAAGATGAAGAGAATAGGAAGAGAAATGTGAAGTCAGGCAATAGACTCATTGACTTTAACATCGAAGCTTTAGATGAACCAAACAGAGACTACTTACACAAACATTTCGGTAAGGTTTTCATGAGACTCTTAGAGAAAATTAAAATAAACTCACAACAGAGATGGATGGTATGTTATAAACTTGGTGGAAAGTATGAATGTTCTACGTTAAACCTCAATAATATTGGAACATTACTACATCAGCTCTTGAAGGAGAACTTTATATCAGAGATAGAAGCAAATGCTGCAGGTATTGTTGAAATGCACTATGACTTCTTCTTGACAAACATAAAGAATCTTACCGAAATAAAGATGTATGATTTAACAGAATATGAAGGCTTAACGATGTCAGATGTAAAGAAAGGCAAACCAAAAAAGAGACCATATAGAGATGAAAGCACACTGACAAATGACCAGAAAGCCATTTTGGAAGCTCTTAAGCAAACAGGAAACCCAGCACTTATAGAAAGCTTTTGGAAAGATAATGGTGAAAAGAAGTTTTATAAGAAGAGAAGCGGTCAGTTCTGGAAGTATCTTTGCACATTACCTATAAATCTTGAGCGCTACCAAATTTCAATGAATTGAACAAAAGAACTGCACACTTATGACAGAAGACAATTGTTTCGTTTATGCTTGCATTCAGGCTGGAGTAGATGGAGAGACTATTGACCACATGAGAGAAGTCATTCGTGTTAGAGACTTTCCTCAAAGTAAAGTACAAGAAATTTCTGACGCAACAGGTATAGCATTTAATGTTACCATTGGTTATTTCAATGACTCAAGACATAATGAAATAAAGAGATATATACCAAAAGAATGTGAAACTGTTAGAACTATTGACTTACTTCTTGTTGAAGACCACTACATGCTAAACGAAAGATTACCAATGACAACATATTTCATTCGCAACTATATAGAAATTCTCAAAGCTTGTGGTGGAATGAACATT